CCCAGCCTAGAGTGGATCGGAGGAGCCGGTAGGAAATGCGTTCCTCCTGGACACAAGAAAGTGGGGCCGGCGATTCCCGTGGAAGTCGGGCGTCATCAATCAGACCAATCAGACCAATCAGTCAATCACGGGGAATTTGAATTTCTCGAGTTTTCCCGAAAAGGCGACCTCACAACCGTGGCTGACGTCATCGGTCGACCATGGAATTTTCGTCCACATCCCGACAGCAACCGAGGGTTCTCTTTCAACTGCCGAAGAGGACTAATCTTTCCGCACGCGGTGGTCGAAGATGACCACAAGACCAAGTCCGTATCATTTTCTTGTCTCACACGTCTCATTCTACAGTCTCTTTTTCCCCACCTTCGAAAGAAAGGGGGCGCGTGCGAGGGTGGGTGAGTTCCCCAACTGGGGTGGATTCCCCAATTGCATATCGGGTTCTCATTCTCGCACCTTGCTCTTTGCTTCTGCTACACTCCCAGGAACGCTAGGACTGAACACAAAAAAATCAAATACTTTCAATTTCCCGATTACCCCAAGTACGAACGGCATGGCAATCACTTCGATGTAACTCGGTTTGACTGTAGTTTGCATACCCCGTCGCTCCGGTGGCCTAGTGAATCGACACCGTTAGTGGCAGAGGCGTGAGTTCGAATCCCCGTACGGTGAAAAATGACATTTTTGTGGGTGTAGAAACGAAAAAATAACAGCTGAAAAAAAACCTCGGGAGTTCCGAACTTCGACATTTGCACCGTCGAAGAGGAAAAGGGGTGGCTGGACGCTTCTCGCGGAAAAAACAACATTCAGCACCCACCGCAGGAGGAAGGTGGGGTACATCCATAACAATAAGGACGAGCCCGGTGTTTACCCCTTCCTGTGCGCACCTGGATGGTTGTAGTTGAAAAAAAAAGGCACTGAAAGTGCAGTAAACTACACGTCCCACCGCAAAAATTGGGGAGACTGTCGCCAGAGCGAATGAATAGGACGCAAACACACAAAACACTCATAGCCTAAGCCAAAAACAGACCTGCTCGTCAAGCAACACTGTACAGACACCAAGAAGCTCATTCCGTTGGTTCAGCTACTAGGTCGATTGCTCCGATGAAGCTGCATTGCAGGAACCTACCTGTCTGGGAGACCCCCGGCGGTCTCCGCCCGGTCGCAACAAACGTTCATATGTCACCCGTGCTTCAGCCTGTCAGCCAAGAGCCCTTTCTGATGAACAGACGTTCGAGAAAGACGACGGTTTGACGGTTCGGGACAGGCGTTTCCCGGTCCTCCTTGTGATGTTCTGAGACTGACGGCCAGAAAAAACATGACAAAACCCCAACCGTTTGCTCGAGAGCGCGGTCACACTTGCAACACGAGCATGGCCCGGAACGGTGCCCATCTTTTTCGAAGTTACACGTACCCAGTGCTTGACACGCGTTTCCCCCAACTCACGCGGAACGTTGCTGCCCCTCGGGGAGCAACCCCAACGAAACGAAAACCTCTTCTGTTTACACCAACAAGCCGCTGCTCGGCAACGCGTTATTGCTGCTTGTGGAGCCGAACACGGGCGTCCCTTGCACCCTGGACACCCCGTTCCGCTTGGGTTTATCTTGTTTGCGCCTTCGTCAGTCCCGGAGGCCTCTCCGCGAGGAAAGCGGTCGCAACGACAAGCTTTCGCCTTCCAAAATACGTCCTCACTTGCTATGGCATCAATTCCACTAAATGTACCATACAGGATAGTATTTGCGGAACAGCAGGACGATGCCGTAGCCAGGAACACCCTCGTCAAGATCTTTACAATGAGAACAGCCACGGTTGTGGCCTCGCGCCACAAGTCATGGCCAACGATCAAAACTTCGCTTGGAATTGTGTCCGCCTGTCCTGGCGAAAAACGGCGGAGTGATATGCATGGTAGCAATGACGCGAGCTCCCGGCTGCGACGGCGACGGCATCTTCACACGTACGACACATCCTCACCTGACTCTTACAATAACCTTTGTGGCCACTCACCAACGGAGCGCGTCCCCAAACAGCGGTAACCACACACCCATACGGAACGATCCGCAGCCAGCCGTCAGGTTCGAGGTGCACATGGTAGGGAAAACTGCAATCAAGCACCAGCGCTACTTCGCCCAATGTATTGACACTGAGGGTTGTCCCGTAAAGCTCTGCTCCTCCCGAGTCAGACCGTTCGTATAGCACGGCTTACAGCGCCGCCACGATCGCGCCCACCAGTCCCACAAAGATCCCCCCAACACCAGACAAAATAAGCAAAACCCCGGGCGCAGCGTGCTGGCCTCGCCCGCCATTCGCAGCGGTGTCGAGACTTGCGTCTGACTCTGGCGACGGGGTGGACGGGTCCAAGCCGGCGGCCAAATCGACGGGTGCAGGCGAGGAGAGGGAGGAGGAAGTGGCGGGGGCCGGCGTATCGTCAATACCCCTCTCAGTCCCCGAGGGGGACGGTGTTGTCGCTTCGTCGTCGTCGCCCCCGCCTGCAGATGCGGAGGTGCATCCGCAGGTGAAGCCGAACATCACGTCCGTGACGGCGATGAACGCGCCCGTCCCCGTAAGGTCGCCTGGACACGCATGACATCAAAGTTGTCATCGATCGACGGAGTGCACAACGGCCAGCGGAGAGAGTCGTAGGTGAATCACTCCATCAAAGAGGTTGCCTTGGGCTTGGGTGCGAAGTCGGCGAGATGGGGTGCTTAAAAGTGTCATGTTGCGCGGCGTCTGTGTTTGCTAAACGAGGTTCGGCTGATATCGCACGCCGAAGGGAGCGTTGCGTCGGGAAAAACAGGTGCTGCAAGGGGGGGGGCACGCGGTTGGGTACGCCGAGAAATCCAACGCCACAAACCAACCCCGATGACAACGTTCGAAAAAGGGCACAGAAAGTGCACGTCTTGCAAGAGTTACCACCCAACCTTGACACGTTCGAGATCTCCCAACGAAAAGAAGACCACTTCAGCAAGCCGTGCGAAAGGGAACGCCCAAGGTGGGCCACAAACTACGGGTCATTGCGGAGAAGGGCGGAAAACGGTTTCTGTCGGCAAGGTCTTTGGAGGTTCGCAATACATAGCCACGTGTGATACACCTTTCCGGTGGGAATCTCATCGAGGGACGTGCGACAAGGAGATAGCAGGGTACATTTATCAAGCGGAGCCTACCTACATCGAACATGCTTCGAAAACGACAAGATCTGCGCTGCTGCGGAGAATCGCACTTCCAACAAGGGGCACGCCAAACTAATAGACCCTCCTGCTGGTCGGGCTCGAACAGGTGGAGTCCACAGCTTAGTGGGGTCTTCTTGTCGCAGAGAAAGTGATCGAAACGGTGAGCCCAGCGGTTAAACTCATTCAACGACGAGTTCGCTTTCGAGAACTCTACTACGGCCAACGATTACAACTCAACGCCGCTCGCCTCACTCTAAATCTATCCAATTCGGGAATCTCCTAGACTTACAGAAGAACGTGGAATCCGCAGGGTGGGTAGTCGTCGGACTCTCTTCCGAAACGCAGGTAACCGCGAGATCGTCCGCGTCCTCATCGTACGTTCCGACGATCCAGCGGGCCTGGCGGTGTGTTTTACCGCAAAGGAAGCGCGGAATGCATTGGCGGTAAAACGGTAAACACGGAATGCATTGGCGGTAAAACAGTTAACGGGTTGCCTTTCCCACGGAAACATCGAGCCACGTTATCGCCATCGCTCCAAGACATAGCAGAGAAGGCGCGGTTACGTTCGACCTCTCCTCCGAGCCAGAGTCGCACATCGCCATGGTCCACGAGGAGGCCGGACGTCAGCATTATTTGTTTATTTCTTTTCTTGACTTGACTTCAAATCAGCGCAAACAGCATTTGTGCCGTTTACTGTAAACCGTATCCATACAAAAGAATTCCTCTCCCTGAGGTCCACTACCTACCTACCTTCGATTTTGAATGCGAGATGAGCGCAGCACTCTCTTGCTTCTGTGTCCACACGTCCTAGCGCTTTCCACCCAGGCCAGGAACGGAAGCGAGGGAAATACTCACTTTGCAAGAAAGGCTCGCTTACGCCGGGATTCGAACCCCTGACCCTGGCCACTAGAAGGTTTTCGAGCATACAAACTAGACTACCGGGTCGACCGGATGTCGGCATGCGAACCAAAAAAACAGAATGCGCTCCCACGCACAAGTCTCCTTAAAATTGACTCCTTATTATCTTTCTGACCAGAATTTCCTTTTAATGTTGTTTGGATTTTCCAGGCCTCTCCGGCATTTTCCACCCCTCTACAGGCCCTGGCAGCGTAATATTTCATTTTCTTGTAACTCCGAGTTCGAAACGTCGCCAAGCCGCCTTCCCTCGGTCACGCTCGCCTTGTCATCGACATGGGCAGATCCCCTCGCCACCACTCCTCCTCCGCGCCCTCCACGCTCGCTACTGTCTATCGGACTCATTCGTTCTGCACTCTCCCGCTACATGTCGACACACGCTTTTGCTTTAGGTCCAAGGCCTTTGGTCTTCGATTCTACAATTCTCTTGGGATTTCACCGCGCCACGGCGCCTGCTGTTCGCGGGAACGCTGGCAAGGCAGCCAGACGGACGACTCCCGAAATTGATGCTTGGCGAGCTGGTGGGGGGGGAGGGCCCAGGCAGGGGGAAACCGGAGCAAAACTGGCAGATGTGCCTGAAGGACGACCTGAAGATGTTCTAAGCAGAGAACGGATCTACGGACGCCGAGCCATGCTTCTTCGGAGTCCCGGGAACAACTTGGATGGAAGCTGCGAACGTGGACCGGGGGGTACCGTGGCATACAGTACTGCAGGGAGCTAAGAGGTTCATGGCCTCCTGGCACAAGAAGGAAGTGGAGGCTAGCCGACAACGAGCGCCCAAACGAAAGAAGCCCGACGACAACACGGACACGTCAACAACCACGGGGATGTGAGGGGTACAGCAGGCGGAGGAGATGGCGAGGAAAGGCAGGAAACGCGAAGAGGCGGACCGAATGGCGCGAAACACCGTCCCGAAGTGCACCCCTTACTATTGGTCTTATCCCCCCCCCCGCGCCCGACACTGTACCATTGCACCAACCCCACGCGAGCGATGACGTGCATGGGCTGGATCGAGTGGCCCGCTTTGTCTTGAGTGTTGCTTTTGTGATGTTCTGTTTGTTGTCCGCCGCTACGGCGTGTTTCTTTCTCTGTCTGTCTTTCTCGTTCTCTTTCCCTTCTCTCCATGTGCTCCCTTCCTTCTTTCTTCTTCTTTTCCCCTTGCTTTCTTCTTTGCTCTTTCTTTTTCCAATCTAGGGTTTCTTCGCATAGCATGTAGAGGCGAGTGGAGTGGCCTAGTCAAGCCGTCGTTGACTTTCATTGGCTTGCGGGCCCTTCGGGCCTATGGTATTTTCGAATACCTTTTTGGGTAACTTAGCCTGTGACCACAGGAATCGACCCCGTTGAGTGTTCGACTAGTGCGGACAGAAGAAGGTACTGGGCAGAGAGAACGGGAAGGTATATTAATGTGATGACATCAACAGCAGTAACAACAACAGCAACTCTCTTTCGGCATTTCCTCGCTCGCGCAAAGGCATTTTCTATCCGTCTCCTCTACCATCCCTCTGCTCCCGTTGCATACCGTCTACCGTGATTGTTCCGTAGTCTTCGACACGATTCCAAGTTGCTTCACCTACCCGGAGCGCACTACTGCTGCTTTTCTCTTCCATGTTCATGTGGCATGAAGTATGTGCCGATCATCTCCGTAACATTCCGTCCTCGCCTTCTAAATGCCGGCGTCAACCCTTCTCAAACCCCCTCTCTCTATCCACCATATACCGGTCCCCTTTTTGTGTTCAACCCATCCACGTCTCGTCGCCACCCATCCGGCGTTATTGTCACATCAGGGTTGGTCGAAGCAAAATCGTTTTCGTGCCGAGGGACGATTGACAAGATATTCCGCTGTGGTGGTTCCAAACGATTTACGGCCGCCAGCGACACTATACAGCATGACAGCCACTCATGGTAGCACCCTCACTGGCAGTTTTGGCGCAGCTAGGAGCTGTGAAGCAAGTGCGAGTCTTTTTATTAGTGTTTCGTTTCAGGGGAGGGTTCCTCGACACTCACGTCTGCGATCTCCTGTTCGTCCAGGAAGCCGGGGGACACCGCCATCACGCCGTCGGCCTTCTCACCCGACGTGCTGAAGAACGTCTCCGTCTCGCCGGCGTCTACGTAGCATCCGTCAAACTCTTCCAGCTCTGATGACGATATCGTGAACTCGTCCGTGCCGCCGCAGCCCGATGCCCCCACGGGGCTACCATCATCGTCGACCGGAGAGGTTGCTGGGGCGGGCGTGGTCGATCCCGACTCCGGAGCAGGTGTTGGGTTGTCCGAGCAGCCGCAGGTCAAGGAAAAAGAATCCGCTGAAACAAATACAAGCTCGACTCCGAGAAAGCCTATTAGTGGGTTCGATTCCACGAGCAAACGAGGGAGGGAGACAGAGAGAGAGGGGGGGGGGGGAGATCAGCATCG